ATAGAGATTTTGCAGTTGCTGGGCCTATTTTTTGGACAGCCTACCTATCGAACTACGTATATTCGGGTTATCATTAGCTGAGTTTAGAAAACGTTTAAAGACATACCTATTTGGTAACTCCTAGAGATCTCAACCGGATGATGGCTTCGCTTTCGACATGCTTCATACGAGGAGAGCGCTGATGAGAAGCAATTATAATTGGCGCTATATAAATACAATATTTGATTTGATATATATATATATATATATATATATACATTATATATATATATATATATATATATATTTATTTATATTTAATATAACCTATTTCTCTCTCACAACAACATAACAGAAATTTCCTGTATGTGGAAATGTACTTGATCGTTTGTGTCAGTATCCATGCTTCTTCACGAAGGAAGTGTGCGCAAACGACTCAATGTGAATATTTTTTTATTCTACCACCCATTAATTCAGAATTTAGTTGAATATAACTACTTAAAAGGAATTTCAGCGCAATTCCACCATGCGTATATACGGACGTCTTGAAAACTCCTTACAAGACACACAGCACCTCATTTGATAACGAAAAACCTCTCGGTAGCAAAGTTTGTCCTTGTTCCAATCTCCAGTGCTCACGTATTTATTGCATTCATATTATTTTTGTGATTTTTCTAATTATTTTAAAAATTTTATACAATAATTTTTATTTTTAAGTTTTTGAACGAACTTGTTAAACATTCATAACTAAACTTTAAAATTGTGAATCTGACCGCAGAAACTACGTTGCCAACATTATTACAACCATTGACCATAGCAACAACAACATCAACTATAACAATTACAACGTTAACCATACCAACAACTCCTTCAAAACCAACAACGACATCAACTGAACCACCAACAACATCATCAACAACATTATCAACAATATTAACAACATTATCATCAACAACGACATTATCATCAACATCAACAGCAGCAACTCCAACATTTCCTACTAGTACTTCTTTTTCTAATAAACATGATTCCCTTCCAAGTTTGAATGTTGTGAGCAGCTCAGCGCCAAGTAGTGATGTGAGCCAAACACAAACACTTGTTCCTCCATCATCTCCTTCTTTCTCTAGAGAACTTGGTGTGGGACTTAGCGTTGGTCTGAGTCTTCTCGTCATTGTTCTTGTTGCAGTTGCTCTTTTGTTCTACTTGAAGCGCATCAGGCCTTTGAAAAAGAGCAAAGAAAATCACATCTCGCATGTTTACGTCGGTGAAACTGAGTCTAAAGTCTGATTATCATGTTCGTTAACATAATTTACTTATGTTTCTAAATCGTGCAATTGTAATCTTTCTGATCTGTAATTTCAATTAGATTATTCAATAATTTTTTCATTAGAATAGATAATTTTAAAGTGTTTAAATATACATTAACGACACAGATTACGCATATAACATTGAATAAAAACATGCTTGATTGCAACACATATATTTTTTTTTATATTTTATTATATTTTATTTCAATCAACGTTAGCTAAAACCGGTCGTTCAACAAACATCAAGGAGCATTCAAGAAGTTAATTGTATGGTAATAAATATTTCATGTGGGATGGACATGGTTGTTAATAATACTCAAAAATAGTATCTAGAAAACCAATACAGGTTTTAAAATGTATTGACGGTACTCATTTTTGAAAGTGTACGAAACTTGTATTTTTTAAACGGTGCTACATGAAAATGCAATTAAGATTTTTTCTGAAACATGCACTCTGTTGTTAATATATTACAAGAAAATTACTGTGCAACAATAAATTGTTTGAACATTCAAATTTGAAAAAAGAATATTCATGTTCATGGTCGAATATTGAGGTCTGAAAACCCCGGAGCCACAAGCAAGCAAAGGTCCAAATTTTTTCAAATTAAAAACGGCAAACTTTTTCAAGTCTTGAATAAATTCATTGCCTAAAAAATTAATTCAGCAAAAGTTGTAGTAAGTTTTTAAAATCATATTAACATTATTGAAAACTAAAGTACCGTTTTAATAAATTTTTCAGTAAAGTTGAAAAAAACATTTATAAAAAACATGTATGTAGCCAACTTATCGTAAATATGTATCACTTTGTATCTCTATTTTTATGGGGGCCTTAAATGTGGAGGTCCCATGGCAGCAACTTACTCTTCCTTGAATCAAACCTTGTTTATGTCAAATGAATTTTTATTTCTTTTCTATTCAGACAAAAATTATTTAATATTCAATGATTTATTTACAAAAAAACCAACTATCCTATTTAAAAGCATTGCAATTTTGTTAAATTTGTTAAATATTTAACATATTTTTAAGTATTAAAATAATTTCTTGTTAATTGAAAGATTAAACAGTTTTTTGAGGTTTTTTTAAACAAACCAGGTTATAAAACTCTGCACGGTAGCAGATCTTGAAAATTTTGGCGCGGAGGGCCTGAATTTTGATGGGAAAATTTTCTAAGTTGACAGAGGGAGATTTTTGAAAAATGTTGACCTTTATGGTAATGCGGTCGTCGAAAATTACGATGACGAGTTTTTTTTAAAACCAATTAGGTACTGACTTGATATAAATACTCCTCACAAAGGGGGGACACTGGCCCGCCCCGGCCCCTCCCTATAGTCCCCACTGGGCTACAGAAACAAAACAAGTTTTCAAAACAAGCAAAAGACGGCGAAACATAAATTTAATTAAATTGATACTTAAATACCATATCGGCGATTGCGAAACTTTAATATTAAGAACCCTAGAAATGGAGCTTCAGTGGCCTTGAAAAAAATTTAACGACATTCTTTAATCCATTCTGCAGGTCCACTTAAATTTGATGTTAAACGAATAATTGACGTGCTCTGTGAGAAGATATTATAAAAAAAACGTGAAATTTGAAAATGCGGTAAATGCGTTCAATAAATTTGACGAGTAATATTTTTCCATGCCAGAATTAATCAATCAACTTAATTAAACTCATTTAATTTAATAAAAAATATAAATAACAAATGTAAACAATAAATTTTAACGACAAATAAAAATTAAATTTTAACACAAAAGGGTTTTTTAAAGTTTTTTTTAATTAAACATGATAATCATACACATGTACATGCTACTACTATCAATTATAACTGCTGGTTCTGCCTGCTTATCTCATATTTTTGTTAAATTGACACCCAAAGACGTATATCAGTATAGTTGATTTATCTTTTTATTTTGTTTCAATGTCTTTTTCAGCAATGAAATTTTTTCAAAAGCAGTAATAAGCGAAACAAACCATCGAAAATATTATGAAATAAATAATTCTGATTAATCTCACGTGGTTTTAAAACACTAGAAAATTTCTTATGAATTAATATTACGAAATTTTTCTGAATAAAACATTATAAGACATTTTGCACAGTCAAATTTGGTTAATATGGAAAAATTCGATCACAATTTGAATTCAGAAATTTTTCGACGGTAAAACTTAAAAGGGACTTAATAAACCCAGTCCAAAGATTTGAAACAAAACTTCTATTTTTAATTAGAAAACAACTGCTAGATGCAATAAGAAATGTGGACCTGTGCCATATATATTATTGTTATTATGCATTACAGTAATTAATATATGAGATGAGCAAATGAATAATTGATAAACAAATTATCATAGTTATATTTTTTTTGACGTGTTTATCTTAAAACTGTTTTTTAAATGTCCATCGAGTAAATATTATACATGATCATTACTTACAAATTTACCGATGGAATGTCATACGGTGAGTTGGTAACTAGCATCGACAAATTGAATTTTAATGAGCATGAGTTAAATAAGAACCTGGAACCGCAATGATTAACGTATTTTTTTAAATTAATTAACTTAAGATATTTGGATATCTTTTACAGATACAGTAATTCTATTCAGTATCACATAAGACGACACACCACCACTTTCTACACTAATAAAACTGGCATTAAATTAATTAAGTTTGGTCTCAAAATTACAGGACCAAAAATAAAGATCAATTAGTCCCTCAGTCATTAAAAATTATAAACAACTTGCAACTGTTTAAAAAAATTGCGTCAAATAATAACATTTCTTAATTTTGACACCACCATTAAGATCAAGTGACGTGCATCTCTTAATTCGTATGTCCGTGTGCAGTGTGCACATAAGTCTAGGCGTAAATATTAATTCTTATACGAGAAAAAGCGCAATTTTTCTGTCACCACATAGGGGGCATTTAAAATTTTCGTTTTTTAGAAATCGATCAAAACATTGGATCGTCACGTGATAACTCGAAATAAGTAATTAACGATCATTTTTTGGTTTATACGAACCAATTTTGAAAAAATAAATAAATTTCAGCTGAAACTTTTTATAAACTTTTTCAAGTCTTAAACAAATTCATTGCCAAAAAAAATTAATTCAGCAAAAATTGTAGTAAGTTTTTAAAATCATATTAACATTATTGAAAACTAAAGTACCGTTTTAATAAATTTTTCAGTAAAATTGAAAAAAACATTTATGCAAAACATGTATGTTGCCAACTCGTCGTAAATATGTATCACTTTGTATCTCTGTTTCTATGGGGGCCTTAAATGTGGAGGTCCCCTGGCAGCAGCAACATTCTCTCCCTTGAATCCGAGAGTTTTTTTTTCTTTTCTATTCAGACAAAAATTATATAATATTCAATAAATAATCTAAAAAAAACTAAATTTCCCTTTTAATTGCATTTATATTTCGTTAAATTTGTTAAATAATTCAACTGATTCTTAAATATTAAAATAATTTATTGTTAAATGAATGATTAAAAAAATTGTTAAGTTTTTTTAAACGAACCAGGTTATAAAACGCTGCCCGGTGGCAGATCTAGAAAATTTTGACGAGGGAGGGCTAAATTTAATTAGAAAACTTTTTTTCGTTGACGGGAGGAGATTTTGAAAAATGTTGACCATTTATGGTAAAATGGTCGTCAAGAATTACGCCGACGAGCTTTTTTATACCAATTACTTTTACTGACTTAAAACAAATACGCCTCACAATGGGGGGGACACTGACTCGCTCCAGCCCCTCCCTAGATCTGCCACTGGGCTACAGAAACAAAACAAGTCAAAACATGCACACAAAAGACGGCGAAACAAGAAATTAATTAAATTGATACCTAAAAATATCGAAAATACCATATCGGCGATCGCGAAACTTTAATATTAACAACTATAGAAATGGAGCTTCAGAGGCCTTGAAAAAAATTACCGACATTTTTTTGCCCATTCTGCAGGTTCACTGAAATTTGATGTTAAACGAATAGTTGACGTGTGGTAAGATGTTACAAAGAAACGCAAAATTTGAAAATGTGGTGATTTTTTACTAAAATGCTCTGGCGAACAAATTGTAATTGTTTACAATAAATTTGACGAGTAAAATTCTTCTATGCCAGAATTAATCAGCAGACTTAATAAAACTGATAAATAAATTAATTAATTCAATAAAAAGTATATATAATAAATGTAAACAATAAGTTTTAACGACAATAAAAATAAATTTTAATATAAAAGTTAAAAAAGAAAGTAATTTTGGCATTGAGTTGAGTTGAGTGGAGGATATATCCGACACGACGGTAATATTCTTTTCTGATCTTTTCCTTCATTTTGCTATGTTGAATGCAGTCGCTTTGTTCAACACTAAGGTATCTGTACACCCCTTCCTGATCTAAATTTCGCATCTCTGTGTTGTCATCAAATTTTGTGTCAATGCCGCAAACAAGTCTTCCTTTCTTGAGGGTGACTTTTGAACACTTATCTAAACCGAAAGACATTTGTTTAGCATCGCTGAATCTTTTCACCACACCCAGCTCTTGATTCAGTTGAACATCAATCTTCGCAAATAGTTTCAAGTCATCTATGTATAATAAATGGCTGATCATTTGTTCTTTGTGAAATACATAACCTAGACCATCGTTGTTTAGCATATTGGTTAGAGGTATTAAGGCTATGCAAAACAGTAGAAGTGAGAGTTAATCTTCTTGATCTTTTTGAAATATACCTCTTTTAATGGCCATTTTACTAGTTTTAATACATCCCCGGTGCATTTCAGTGTTCCACTCTTTCATTGCAACCTGGAGGAAATTGATGGCAGTTAGTCTAGTTCTATAAATCTTCAGTGATGTCATGATCCAACTAAGAAAAACACTATTAACACTATACTAAGATTATGTTTTTCTTTTTTGCGTCTTCTATAACTGCTTTGTCTACGAGAAGTTGATCTTTGCATCCATGCACTGATTTCCTACATCCGTTTTGCTCTGGTGGTAAGATGTTGTTGTCGTTGAGATGAAAGTACATTCTTTCAGAAATCAAAGCAGTTAGTAACTTGTACATAGTTGGGAGACAAGTAATCGGCCGGTAGTTTTTAGGGTCTTGAATCATTACGTTTTGAGAGCAGTTACGCCGTCAGTGAAACAGTTTGTCAGATTGTCTGGATTTCTGATAGCTTTACCCATTTGTCTAGCCAGTTCTCCGTGCAAAAAATCAAAGCTTTTAATCCAAAAGTTGTGAACCTTTTTCAGTTCAGGTGCCTTCCAGTTAGCGAGATTTTAAATTATCTTTTTCATTATATTTTTAAGACTGAATATTTGAGTAGTGGTCGGTTTTCTGTTTGATCCAATTTGCATTGCTGTTATGACAAATATCATTTTCCAAATTATTTTTCCAGAAGGCTTCTATATCTACTTTTGATGGAAGTTTAATGACAGAAGTTTGTTTTTGATTTAGTCCACTGTATAACTTTTTAGCTTTTTGAACAGTTTGTTTTGATGATATTGATCACACCGTTCTGTGAATCTCCTTAGTCTCTGTGCTTTTGCTTGAAGTTACATTTTTAATGTTCTTTGAGAGCTCAGTTAAATTGTTGATGTTGTATCGTTTTTTGATGTCATCAACGTTATTGTATAGGGCTTTATTGGCGACTCCTTTGTTTAACATTGCAAAAATTGATATTTCTTTGCGGAAAAGATCAATTTTGTTTTTTGTTTTTGATTATGATTTTCCATTTTGGATCTTTATGAAACGTTGGTTTGCATAGTTTTTTATGTCCAATTTCGCCGACAACGACTGTAGGTATATATCAGTTGATTCAGTTCTGTAAGGTTTGGCTCTTTGTTTTTGCAGAAGCTGGTTAGGGCTGTATTGATATTTTGTAATAGTTCATTTGATTTTCTCGAGGGTTTGAACTAGTTTAGCCTTTTACGATGTCTGACGTCGATGTTCTGTAACTCAAATATTTTTCGTTTTATTTTATCTGTTGTTTCGTCGTCAAAGGTTTTAATATTCTCTACTTTGTGTACATCAAACGATATTTCTTCAAAAGATATCGATTCATTCCTGATTTGTGCTGATATATTTTTGCATAACAACGATTATTGTTATAACATTTATCATTATTATAAACCTAATTTTTGACACTTACGATCTACTAAAACAAAACAAACCAACCATCAACAAACCCTTATTATTATTATTTATGTTTATTCAAATGAAAGAGCTCTCCACACAGTCTCAGTGATGATCGCTTTGAAGTTAGTGGAGTTAATTCAGAGCAAGGATGATATGATAATAAAATAAAAATTTAGCAAAACATTTCAAAATTTGTTGAAAACTGAAAGATAATATTTTTATTTTTTTTTATATAATTGTATAACCCCAAAACCAATCAATATTATAGCTAACAATTTCAACAGCCCGTTTTTTAAAAATTATTATTGTCGATGATGAAATTCACTTTTTATTTGTTCAAATGATTTTGCCTAGTTTATAAACTATATGCTATCATTTCTGTTTTATTTTATTATGAAAACGAATATTTTGCTTAACATACTCTTCCATTAGCCAAAGAGTAATTTGATTATCCCATTTCAAACAGTAAAAAGTTATGTTTAATGTAAACCTTCATCGTTTAATGTTTAACTTTTATAATTATTTCTAATGAATATATCTAGTTTAGTGTAAAAATGGTTCAAAATAAAAAAATTTCGATCAAAATTAATATAAATATTGTACAACAATAGCAATAAACGGTTCTTCTCATACTTTGTTAATACATTGACACCCAAAGACATATGTTAGTATAGTTATGAAAAAGTTGATTTATCTTTTTATTTTGTTTCAATGTCTTTTTCAGCAATGAAATTTTTTCAAAAGCAGTAATAAGCGAAACAAACCATCGAAAATATTATGAAATAAATAATTCTGATTAATCTCACGTGGTTTTAAAACACTAGAAAATTTCTTATGAATTAATATTACGAAATTTTTCTGAATAAAACATTACAAGACGATTTGCACAGTCAATTTGATCACAATTTGACTTCAAAACTTTTGCGACTGTCAAACTTAAAAAAGGGACTAAATAAACCCAGTCCAAAGATTTGAAACAAAACTTCTATTTTTAATTAGAAAACAACTGCTAGATGCAATATGAAATGTGGACCTGTGCCATATATATTATTATTATTATGCATTACAGTAATTAATATATGAGATGAGCAAATGAATAATTGATAAACAAATTATCATAGTTATATTTTTTTTGACGTGTTTATCTTAAAACTGTTTTTTAAATGTCCATCGAGTAAATATTATACATGATCATTACTTACAAATTTACCGATGGAATGTCATACGGTGAGTTGGTAACTAGCATCGACAAATTGAATTTTAATGAGCATGAGTTAAATAAGAACCTGGAACCGCAATGATTAACGTATTTTTTTAAATTAATTAACTTAAAATATTTGGATATCTTTTACAGATACAGTAATTCTATTCAGTATCACATAAGACGACACACCACCACTTTCTACACTAATAAAACTGGCATAATTAATTAAGTTTGGTCTCAAAATTACAGGACCAAAAATAAAGATCAATTAGTCCCTCAGTCATTAAAAGGTATAAACAACTTGCAACTGTTTAAAAAAATTGCGTCAAATAATAACATTTCTTTATTTTGACACCACCAGTAAGATCAAGTGACGTGCATCTCTTAATTCATATGTCCGTGTGCACATAAGTCTAGGCGTAAATATTAATTCTTATACGAGAAAAAGCGCAATTTTTCTGTCACCACATAGGGGGCACTTAGAATCTTCGTTTTTTAGAAATCGATCAAAACATTGGATTGTCACGTGATAGCACGTGATGAAATGCGAAATAAATATTGGCAGTTACAGCAATACTTGCAATACTTGCAATTGCATTTCACCTCATCGTTGGTTAATTCAAATATTTTTACTATAATAATAATTATTATTAGGAAAAATAATATTGCAACCAAATGTTCCTGTTTCAATTTTTCAGTTAAAAAATATTTAACAGAAAACGATTTTTGCGACCAAGTGACATTCATTCAACAATAGCGACAGCCCAAGTTATAACATTAATCAATTCTAACGCAAATATATTATTTAGCTGGTTTCTATTCAATACAACCAACTAAATGGTTAGCAGTTGCTATGGCTAAAACACAATTGGTATTGTGTGCTGTACGAGAAATATGGGATCTTAAATTGCGTAAATGAGTTTAAATAACTAAAGAAAAAATTTTGTTTTCATTAAATGTTGTTTAAAACACTGACACTTTATAAACACATTGTTGGTTACTTACTACAAACTTTAAATTAAATATGAATGAGACGTGGTGTGCACTCAATAATTTCATCTTGAAATGCTTCGTGCTGTCTTTGTTGCACGTACATCATACGAGATCTGACAGCTTGGCTAGCACTTACTTCCAACAACTGAACTCAATCGCCCAGGAACATTTGGGACTCGACAGCTTTGAGGTTTGAATACATAAATGATATCTGTACGTATGTAGTTGTTGTATATGAAACATGTGTGTGAAAGTAAGTGTGAATATTACAAAAAGTTACCGAGCAGCGTTATGTATTTACAAGAAAGTACTGCATGAAAACAATGTTTTTACGTCTCAGTCTTTCACGGTTGTAATTGAAAATAAATTTCAAACTAGTGATGAATTTTAAATGTATTTTAATTGTAAAAAAATATCGCTTGGCCAAAACTTTATTTAAAATTTTTGCTAAACTGCTAAAATATTTAGGAAATTTCTTAAATATTATCCGAGAATAAAACCATTTTTAACGTTACGGTAGAGAGTAGATAGACAATGAACTGAAATTTAAATAAAAAAAAAATATTAAAAAGGATCGTTTGTCTGAATTACAAGACGTTTTTGTTCATGATCATCGCACTGGAATACTAATTTGATTTTTAAAACATTGATACGTGCGTTGTTTTTTTTACCAAATAATTATAAATAAATGGAATTATTGGTCAACATTTACATACATTACATACATTCATACATATATGCATATGTACGTACACATTTGTACCTAAATACATACATCGTTATGGAGTACATCGACGAATTGGGTCTGCGATGAGTCCAAAGATAAGCAAAAAGTCCTAACCTTGACGAACATTTCCATGCACATGTTCAACAAATCTATACATCTGTATTATTTCCGTTTAGGACCGCCTGCTTTTGCCAAACCCTTTTTTCAGCGAGGGTAGCAGTACGTACCCGTTCAAAATTAGAAACTGCCGACTGCGTAAACTTTTTTCATCCCGAGTGCTGTAGAGCATCAACACAAAGGGCCTTGGTGTCCAAACAACATTTTTTAATATTTTCTTTCAAGCGGTCACCTCATATGAAACTGGTTGAACCTACGAATGTACGCATGTATGTTGTTGTTATATATGAAACATGTGTGTCAGCGAACAAAACAATTTTGTTGGGCTAGCCTTTATAGGACATATTTTCTAATCCCCTCTCCAATTGGAGAAAGCAGTGCTTCCCTAAATAGAGCTGCTTTGTCGCCAAAGCATGACCGAACGTCACTGTAGCTCTCAGTAACAAGCGACTATCACACCAAAGCCACCTACGTGCTGTATAGTGGCTAGACACTCCCAGTAGTATCCTCTACCTGTGACCGTCGTCATTTTTCAGTCACCGCAGAATTTTTAGGCTCACAGCATCCACCGGAAACAATCTGCACAATTGAATTAGTTTTTGGTGAGAGAAGTTTTGTGAGAACAAGCCACACCTCTTTTTTTTACAAGGGCAGCAGGCACAATAAATTGCGACGTAATGACTGATTAGTATGGACTCAGCATTTTAGTTGGGGCTGAGACCGAGTTGATGAGCAAACCCGTTTCCATAGCCAACTCCAGGTGATACAGGTTTTCTGTTTAGGTTACTCGCTTTTGCTCTTTTCTGTTAGTTTAAACTGCTTTGCCACGTAAAGGCTAGAAATAGGACTTAAAAGACCAAGGTAAAATACCTACCGCCAAAGAGAGGATTTTTTAAAAGATGGGATTTCATTTCCTATTCCCACTACGGCATAGTCAACCCGATTAAAGCCACATACAAACATACATACATATATACATACATACATGCATGCATAAGTACATACTTACATACTTACATACATACATACATACATACATACATACATACATACATACATACATACATACATACATACATACATACATACATACATACATACATACATACATACATACATACATACATACATACATACATACATACATACATACATACATACATACATACATACATGCATGCATGCATGCATGCATACATACATACATACATACATACATACATACATACATACATACATACATACATACAATTAACGACAAATCAAAGTGTTAATCCATTTGTTACTTGATGTTTGACGGTTCAGTGTCACTCATCATGTTTTGGTTTTAACATACATACATACATACATAGTTGTCTCCTCCCACACTGTTACCTAGGTTTTTGTATTCACTCATTTGCTCACTCACTCATTCATTCATCAATAAAAAAAAAGAAAAGGAAAAAAAAATATAAATAAAAGTTGAAACACTGGTTAAATATTTAAAGATAATTCAGTCACTCATCCGTTCGCTCGTTCATTCATTCCGTCACTCATTCATGTATTCATTCATTCATCCATTTGTTCGGTTGTTTATTCATTCATTTATTTATTCACTCATTCCTTCTTTTTTTTCCCTCACTCGTCCGTTCAGTAATTAGCTCATTCATTCCCCCATCATTCACTCATTCATTCGTTTGTTCGCTGGCCCGTTCCTTTGGTCATTCGCTTGTTCATCCATTCATTCATCTATCCACCCCACTTGGTTTGTTTCCTTTCCCTCGTTTCTTGGTTGTTTTTAATCACATATGGCTCCAACGTTACAACAGTGCCCCGTCTGCTTTAACCACTATAGAAGCACTCCAGACGGGAAGTTATGTCGGCACGGAGGTAAAGTGAAAGGACAGGAAGGCTCGGGGTTCCGGAAAAAAGTTGATCCATCGGGCGCGAGGGCTGCTTCGCCTCTCGGTGTCGCACCCGACCCCAAGCCTGGGTTGCCCACACGGTCGTCGGCCGCATCGGTCTCCGGTGATCCTCTCGGCCTGGATTACTCTGGTGTTTTTGACAAGCTGACGGCCGTGCTGAAATGTGTACCGGTGTACGACCATATCCCTAAGCCATGCAGGAAGAAGTTCGCACATGATCTGAACGCCTTGCTGACGGCTGTTTGTAATGACCCTGGTGACCCGGCTCACTGGGTTAGACTTCACTGTTTTGTCCCACACGTCTTACAGAAGACTTCCAGAGGGGGGTCGCCGGGTCAACCAGGGCAATCTGGTCAACAAGCGTCTAAGCGAATATTCAACTATTGGTCTTGAAACCCTGGTACTGTGCTTTGAAGGGTTCAATAATGCCAAATCACAAAAGCACAACCCCGATCGGTGGATCAACGCTGTGTCATCTTGTATTGAACAGGGAAACCTGTCCTCGGCTGTCAGACTTGTCTGGCGGAGAGCTCGCCGGCCACCTTCGATAAATTATGTTCCATCCACCCAAAAATTCCGGTGGACAGGCGGGTCTTTTCCGCATTGACACCAACGGCTAGTTGCGTTTCTCCCGCCGAGGTGCTGAGGGCCGTTAAATCGTTCAAAAACGGTTCTTCTGGAGGCCTGGATGGCCTACGACCCCAGCACCTTAAGGATGTTTTTTCAGGCCCCTTGCCAATCGACGACACACTGAACTCCTTAACCCAATTCATTAATTTGATCTTATCTGGAGCTTGCCCACTCTCCGCCCGCCGGTTCTTTTTTGGAGGCCGGCTAATAGCTTTAAATAAGAAAGACGGAGGGGTCAGACCGATTGCGGTCGGGAACGTTTGGAGGAGGTTGGCCTGCAAATGTGCCTTGGCCCTGGTCGTGGTCGAACTCAAGACCAAGTTCTACCCGACTCAGTTGGGTGTCGGGATTAAGGGTGGCGCTGAGGCCGCTGTTCATGCGGTTCGAAGATTGGTCACCGACCTCCCCAATCAATGGGGGTTTCTGAAACTGGACTTTAAAAATGCCTTCAATGCCTTGAGAAGAGACTCGCTGTTGGAGGCTGTCAAACTTTTTTGCCCCAATATCTATAATTTTTGCCATTCTGCCTATGGCGGAGTTTCTTCCCTTGGCTACCACTCTTGGGTTGTAGAATCGTCCGAGGGGGTACAGCAAGGTGATTCCCTTGGTCCTTTGTTGTTCGCACTAACTCTTCATCCACTCTTAGAGAAAGCTTCGTCCACTTTCGTTTGCGCTTATCTGGATGATATCAGCATAGCTTCGGACGGTCCAACTCTGGCCGATAGCTACGAATATTTGAAGCATAACTCCGCTGCAATTGGCTTAGAGTTAAACATTAAAAAATGCGAACTTCACTGCCAAAGTTTATTTCAGGTGCCACATGCGCTGGCTGAAATACCCAGAGTTGGTGCATCAGAACTGAGTTTTTAGGCACACCCTTGGTCGAGGGCGATTATCAAATAAAATTTTTGACCAAAAGCTCTCTGAGCTTAAATTCGCCTTGGGTCGTGTTTCCTGTCTTTCGGCCCATGATGCCTTGACTATTATCCGCAATGCCCTCAGTTTGCCCAAATTGATGTACTTCCTGCGTACATCTAAACACATTGACCCTTCTAAATTTGGCGAATTTGACGGAGCCCTGCGCACCGCCCTGTCGTCGATTTGCAATGTTCAAGTGACTGACAGTGGTTGGTCCCAGGCTCAGCTGCCGGTGCGATTTGGTGGGCTGGGGTTGCTTAGCGTGGTTCAGCTGGCTCCCGTTGTTTATAATTTTTCTGCCGCTGCCACTCTCGACTTGCAGTCTTCCCTGCTCCACCGGTTTTTTCGTTGCCGCGATATTCTTCCCCCTGTGTCCGCCCCGGGGGACCGTACGCACGTCCAAATTTTGAACGAAGAATATAAAAAAATCTTTCAAAATTTGTTGTCTTCATGCGGCGACGACTTTTCCACCGCTCGTTTGTTGGCCATGTCCAGCGTTGCCAGCTGTGGGTGGTTGAGATCGTGGCCTAACACCTCTGTGGGCACCAGGCTTGACGACGAGTCTGTGAGATTTGCCATTGGTTTCAGACTTGGCCTGGTCATTCAAAATAAATACACGTGCCGATGTGGCGCTGGGGCGGACGAGTTTGGGCACCACGGTTTGGTTTGTCGCCTGGGTGGGGGCCGTCAACTACGTCACTCAGCGCTAAACGATTACATTTGTCGGCTCTTCTCCAAGGCTTCAATCCCGGTTCTCAAGGAACCATCCGGCATTTCTGCGCATGATGGTAGGCGCCCGGACGGATGCACGCTAATACCTTGGAGAGCCGGCAGATGTTTGGCGTGGGATGTTACGGTCCCTGGCACCCTCGCCGAACGATACGTAAACCTGACAAGTAAAGAATGCGGTTTGGCCGCGGCCAGGGCAACGGACGAGAAAATGAAAAAATATGGGAACGCCCTCCCCTCGATGGAATTCTTGCCAATATGCATCGAGGTTCTTGGCCCGATGGACCCCAACACCCTTAAATTTCTTAAGGAAATATGCAAAATGATCAGCGTCAGATCAGGCGACAGCAGGGAACTGTTTTTCGCAACTAACCACATTTCGTGCTTGTTGCAGCGGTTCCTGCGTGTCTGTGTGCTTGAAAATATCCAACTGAATGCCGACATGTGCAATTAACGACAAATCAAAGTGTTAATCCATTTGTTACTTGATGTTTGACGGTTCAGTGTCACTCATCATGTTTTGGTTTTAACATACATACATACATACATACATACATACATACATACATACATACATACATACATACATACATACATACATACATACATACATGCATGCATGCATGCATGCATGCATGCATGCATACATATATACACGTTCGCTCGGCTGGTGTCGGCTTTCACATTTTTAGTATTTCGCTAATTTTTAGTAATATTTCTGGTTTTTAAGGTTTTTGTTGCAATAATTTCGGTTTTTTTGGTGTGGTTTTTATTGGTTGTCGCTTTTTTTGCCCTTTTTCGGATTAGGTTCCCGCCGTTCGGTTGGTTTTTTAACTTTTGTGGTCTCAAATTTTTAATTTTAGCTTTAACATACTTTAACAACAGCTGTGGGCTTTTACAGCTGCACCGTACAATGCTCATTAATATTTATTTTTGTTTTCTCTATTTCATTCCCAGTTTTTCTTTTAATTTTTAAATTTATTTAAATTTAAAATTAAACCTTTTTATTTTCACCACAATTTTATTTATTTTATTTTATCACTGTTCACAGGGTTTTATCTACTCGCTTTTGATTTTATTTCGTTGACGTAATGGCACCGGTCCTATATCAATGCACGGTTTGTTTAAATCATTATAAAATAAAACCGGACGGTAAACTATATCGACATGGAGGCAAAGTGAAGGGCCAGGAATGCCCTGGTTCGTTCAAGGCAGCCGACCAGCCTCCGGCTGGTTCATCTGCTTCCGCGCGACCGCCGCTTACCGCTGCACCTGTCATCAACCCTCATGTTGCTACACGCGGTTCTTCGGCGTCGGTCTCGGAGAGTCCCTCCCAAGTGGATTTTTTTCATGTTTTTGACAGGCTAACGGTCGTTTTGAGGACTGCCCATCTGTATGATCACGTTCCCAAACCATGCAGAGACAAGGTATCTAAAGCATTGTCGGCTTTATTGACGGCCGTTTGCGATGATCCCTGCGACGCGGCCCATTGGTGCAAGCTCCAATGTTTTTTCGCATTTGTTTTGTTCAAGCCAACCAGGGGCGGTCGCAGGACTAATCAAGCCAATTACGTTATTAAACGGTTGGCCGAATTCAGTTCGACCGAGGTCGAGTTTATTGTGGCAAGCTTCAACACTGACCACAACACCAAACCGCGTAAGCACAATCCAAACAGTTGGATTAGTGCAGTAACCACTTGGATTGAACAGGGCAGTCTCTCGGCGGCCGTCAGACTTGCTTGTTCGCCCGCAGGCCTGGCGGAGAGCTCGCCTGAGACACTCGCTAAACTCAAAGCTATTCATCCCAGTGCTCCATTGAACAGGCGAGCTTTCCCCGCGCAGGAGCCGACCAATGGTCGCGTTTCACCAGCCCAGGTGTTGACGGCTTTAAAGTCGTTTAATAATGGTTCATCGGGAGGCCTTGATGGCTTGAGGCCTCAGCACATAAAGGATTTATGTGCTGAGGCCTCTAGTGCCGGATTTATGTGCCGACGCCCACCTATGAATTGTTAAATAACCTCACCCGGTTTGTAAATTTTTTGTTATCTGGGGTCTGCCCTCCCGCGGTTAGCCGTTTCTTTTTTGGGGGCCGTCTGGTGGCTTTAAACAAAAAAGATGGAGGGATCAGACCCATCGCGGTGGGGAATTTCTGGAGGAGGCTGGCCAGTAAGTGCGCTCTGGCGCTAGTGTTGGAACAGGTTAAAGCCAAACTCTATCTTATCCAATTGGGCGTCGGCGTGAAAGGTGGTGCTGAGGCGGCCGTCCACGCCGTACGTGAACTGATTTCAGCACTTCCAAAACAGTGGGGATTCTTGAAGATTGATTTCAAGAACGCTTTCAACACCCTGAGAAGAGACTCAATGTTAGAGGCAATTAAGCAGCACTGTCCTCAAATTTATAATTTTTGTCATTCCGCATATGGCCGAGTCTCTTCTCTCGGTTACGACGCCTGGGTGGTTGAATCGTGCGAGGGCGTACAGCAAGGCGACCCTTTGGAACCGATGTTTTTAGCTCTAACCCTTCACCCGCTGTTGACGAAGTCATCTTCGGCGTTTGTTTGTGGCTACCTGGACGATGTCAGCTTGGCCGCAGAGGGCAACATCTTAGCGGACGACTTCCTGTCGCTGAGGGTCGGCGCTTCCATCATTGGTCTTGAATTAAACACAAACAAGTGTGAACTACTTGTAAATGACACGTTTCAAATGCCACACGTGCTGGCTAATGTTCCCACAGTGCCTCATTCATCATTAAATTTTTTAGGCACTCCAATGATGGCCGGCGATCATCAGGACAGGTTTTTTAATAAAAAACTTTTTGAGCTAAGATTTGCCCTCGAACGTGTCTCTCTTCTCCCGGTCCACGACGCGCTGACAATCATCCGCGGCGCCCTCAGTTTGCCGAAATTGATGTATTTTTTGCGCACATCCAACTTTGTTAATGCGGCCATTTTGGGCGAATTTGAGGGTGCTCTGCGGGTGGCCCTCTCAGCAATATGTAACGTCGATATTACCGACAAGGGTTGGTCTCAGGCTCAGCTGCCGGTACGATTTGGGGGACTGGGGTTACTAAGCGTGGTTCAGCTTGCACCAATTGTTTATAAATCTTCCGCATCTGCCACGCTTGGGCGGAGGTCGCCAGCAGCGACATTCAGCCATAAAAGATTTTGTGTGCCGACTTTTCTCCAAGGCATCAATTCCGGTGTTAAAGGAACCGTCGGGCATTGCGGCGCACGACGGTAAGCGCCCTGACGGGTGTACCTTGATCCCTTGGAGAGCCGCCAGGTGCTTGGCGTGGGACGTTACCGCTCCGGGCACCTTTGCTGAGCGCTACGTGCAGCTTACTAGCAAAGAAAGCGGTTTGGCTGCAACCAGGGCATCTGACGAGAAGATCAAAAAGTACGACGGAGCTCTCCCCTCGATGGAGTTTTTACCGATTTGTATCGAGGTCCTCGGCCCCATGGACCGTAACACCTCCGGGTTTTTCAATCGGATTTGTAAAAATATCAGTATTAGGTCAGGCGATAGTAGGGAATATTTTTTTGCTATGAATAATATCTCGTGCATTCTGCAGCGGTTTTTGCGCGTCTGTGTGTTGGAAAATGTGGAGTTGAATGCCGACGGGGTTGAGTGACGTTATAGCAAATAAAATCAAATTTAGTCAGACGCTTGGCTTTTGGTGTCATTCGTCAATGATTTGGTTTTAACATACATACATACATACATACATACATACATACATACATACATACACACACACACACACATACACATACATACATACATACATACATACATACATACATACATACATACATAAATACATACATACATACATACATACATACATACATACATACATACATACATACATACATACATACATACATACATACATACATACATACATACACAAAATGGCGACAAGACAGGTCGTTGCTAACGAAGTCCTGTACTTTTTGTCAAATAACTTTGATTTATTTGATAATGATAATTTTATTTTATACTAATGAAGACTTCATATCTGCTTTGAAAACCTTGAAAACTGAATTGAAAACATACATACATACATACATACATACATACATACATACATACATACATACATACATACATACATACAAAATTGTATGTAATGTTGTATGTAAAATACTAAATTCTTTTGTAATCCATGGCTTGTTACAGAGAAAATTTCTAGATTTTTTGACATTTTCCATTAAGCAACAGTCATCGAAAAGTTTTTTAAATAGGTCAATGAAAAGTTTGAAAGCATCATTTACATCATTGCATAACAAAACATCTGACCAATCGTTGATACATAAAGTTTCATTAAGTTTGTTCATTCTACTTTTTGAAAAGGAGTAGATTTGTTGATTCTTTACGTATTTGGACCTATTTTTGTTAATGGAAGAACTGATAGTGACGGTGATGGGCAGATGGTCCGATATATCATGAACGTGCACACCACATAACGCTACCTGTTGCGGAAAGTTTGTGAAAAAGCAGTCGGATGATTGATTGCTTTTCAACACTGATTCTTGTTGGAAGCGTTATTAACTGATCAAAACTGTAGCAGGTAAAAAGTTGACACAAATACATTTTGTTAACATCATCGTTCGTGTCACTCATATCAATGTTGAGGTCACCTGTGTTAACAACATGCTTGTTTTCAACGTCTATTTGTTGCAATATAATTTCCAAATGCTGCAGGTAATAGATCGCGTTGCAACTGGGTGGTCTGTATGATACAACAATGACGAAATTTTTGGTTAAAGGATCAGTCTTTAATTCAATTGCAAAAGTTTCAAAATCTAGACCTCCCAACTTGTTTAAATCATCTCTTGTCTTGAAGGTCAAGTTATTGCTTACGTAGAATCCTACTCCTCCACCGTGTTTGCTCAATCGATTTTTTCCGATGAATTTGAAACCGTTCATACAAATCAAATCCTCTGTACTATCATTAAGCCATGTTTCAGTGATGGCTACGACGTCAAATGTGCACACAAAATTGTTTAAATAATCAAACAACTCATCTGCCTTGTGTATTAAACTTCTGATGTTGATATGCATGAGATTAAAATATGATTTTACATTGGAATTATTGTAATGTATTTGTTTAAATTGGTTATTAAATTGGTTTATATTTTCAAATTTTTGGCACCTGTTGTTAAGTGTTTTGCGGTGGTTTTCTTTGTTTGCTGCATTTGTGCTAATCATGTTTCACATTATTACTTTTTTCGGGTTTTTTCTGGTTGAAGCGCCACTCACGAACGATGATGTGCTTCAAAATGATGTCAGGATCTTTCATCTTGCTGGCGTCACAACTTTCGACACACACTCTGAAAACATTGTGGACTGCTCATCATCATTGTTGTTTTTGTTACCCTCAATCAAATTATTTGTCTTTTTAACAACAGGAAAACACGAAATTACCTTGATTCCATTTGTTGACAAGTATTCAACAACATCATCACGGTGGCATCGCTGAATGTTGCTCATCATGAAAAATGACTTTTTATCAGCTGTTTCTCCGCTTTCAATTTGCAATCATTGCTGACTTTGTTTCCAACAATTTTATTTGAAACTTTTTTTGCAACCTCTGAATATTTCATGATGTTGTTGTTTTGACGGTTGGCGTTGTTGCTATTGGTTTCACTGCGATTGGTGCTGCTGTTGTCTGACCGTGGACGCTTGTTTTTGCGCAGTACGAAACTGAACGGTAAGTTCTCCACTGGTGTTGTTACTCTGTTTGACCAGAGATTTTTGTCCTGTAGAATGTTATCTTGCTGCGCGTTATTTGTCGTTGGAATTTCGTTGTTGACATTTTTTTTCGTTGTTGACATTTGACGACTTTCACCAACAAGAGAGTTAAGTTTATTTTTTACATTATCCAACTCGGTAGTGTAAGACAAAAACATTTTGTTAATTTCAGCTTGTTGACTGAACAACATTTCTTTTATTTGTTTGTTAACAAAGTCGAAATTTATTTTCAGCCAGTTTTCCGTGTTTGGTATTTTGTTTATATCAGAACTGCAAAATAATGTTATTCTATCCAACAAATTGTTATTTTTAATATACCTGAATAAAGTCAAGCATTCCAGAAGTTTTTCACGTTTTGAATTCCCGCGCGAGGGAAATTTTTCTATTTTTTCTAACTTTAGTGATTCTATTTCACATTTTAATGTTTTAATTGCTGAAACGATATCGTCATTAGTATAAAATTCACTAGTATTATTAATAAATGATTCTTTCGCTAATAAATTTAAATTATTATTAACAAAATAAAGTAGTTCATTTATTTTGACCGGTCTCGAAGCCATTTTTTCGATACATACATACATACATACATGAGTGTGAAAGAATGTGAAAGAGTATGAATGAGTGTGAATGATGAATACATTAGATGATTATACTGAAGCGTTCAGTAAAATATTTTTCAGTTTTTTTCTAAATGTTGCCTGCACTTTTGTATATAAACAGAATTTAAATCAAAATTAATTATCAAATTATTCCATATCCGTGGTCCGTTGCATAAAATATGAAAAAATAAAATGTTTGTTTTCGATTTATTGCAACGAATTATGTTTCTGTGCCTATTTGTCAAAACAAAGTTATAATAATCACAAAAAACTTTGGGTAGCAGTCCTGCGTAATGTTTGAAAACAAAAGTAGCACAGTGATACATGTGAAGATTTCTGAAGTTTAAGTTGCGTGTTGAGAGAAATAAAATGTTTGTTGACGCATTGTATTTTGAGCAGGTGATGATTCTCATTCCTTTTTTCATGAGCATTTGCAACGGTTGTGTTAACGAGGGATAAGTTGATGCCCAGATGATGTTACAGTAGACGAGGTGAGGAAGGCATATTGAATTGTACAATAAATTTAGAGAGCGTCTTGGTAGAAAGAATTTGATTCTGTTGATGGCGCCCAGGGATCTTGATAATTTATCTGATACGGAATTTATGTGCTTTTTAAAGGTCAATTTGTTATCCAGAATAATTCCCAAAAAATTTGATGATTTTGTTTCTGTTATCGTTTCACCTTCAATAACGATTTTATATGGCTCTTTATAATTTAGTAACTGCACTGGGCCAAAAACCATGAATTTTGTTTTTTCTCTGTTGAGAGTCAGTCTGTTGTTTTTGAACCATTGAATAACTGATTGAACATCATTATTGATCTCATTTATCAACACATTTATTTTTTTATTACTCTTGAATAGGTTCGTGTCATCAGCATACATGACATAATTAAAGCTGTTTGAGGAGTTTGGTAGGTCATTGATATAAATGGTGAACAACAAGGGGCCAAGGATGCTGCCTTGAGGAACTCCTGAATTGATCTTTTGCAGTCTTGAATCATTTTCATTCCATCTTACGTACTGCCATCTATCACGCAAATAACTTTCTAGCAACTTTGAGGCAATCCCTCGTATTCCATAATGTGCCAACTTACTGAGAAGAATTTCATGATCAACACAGTCAAAAGCCTTGCTCAAATCCAAAAAAATACCAGCAGTGAACTTTTTTTCTTCTGATGCCTTACCAATGCTGTGAACTAGTTCAAGTATTGCCATTTCAGTTGAAAATTTTTTTCTAAATCCATATTGATTTTCGGAGATAATGTTATACTTATCCAAAAAAGATGATAATTTATTGTGAATAATTTTTTCATATATCTTTGAGAAACCGGGTAGTAGTGAGATAGGCCTAAAATTTGAGATTTCATCATTGTTTTTTGATTTTTGAATCGGTATCACTTTGGCTATTTTAAATATTTTTGGAAATATGCTTTTTTCTAATGAAGCATTTATGAGGTGTGTTAGAATTTGTATCGTTGAATGTATTGTGGCTAAAATTATTTGGGACGGAATATTATCGTATCCACAAGACAGTTTTGGTTTCAGAGATCTTGTTGCTTGATAAACCTCTGACGTTGTCACTGAACTTATGAACATTGAATTTTGAATACTGTTTTTCATTGATTTTTTATATTCAAAAGTTTTAACAAAATTTACGTTAAGTTTCTCGGCGATAGAAACAAAGTGATCATTTAGAGCATTTTCTGGATCATTTACAATCTGGCCATTTCTTTTCAGATGTATATTATTACTTTTTGAGTCGTTATTTGATCTCCTCAGAACATCATTCATAATTTTCCATGATTTTTTCATATCATGTTTGTTATTTTCTAGAATATTATGGAAATACTGTTTCTTTGCGTTGTTTTTTATTTTTTTATAAATTTTATTTGCAGATTTATAATTATTATTGTTTTCATCATTTGGGTTTTTAAGGAATTTTTTAAACAATCGATTTTTAGCTTTCAGTATCTTTTTATTTTCACTATTGAACCATGGCTTTTGTTTGCTGATCTTATTAATTTTATTATTACTTACTTGGCAGCATTTTATCATACAACATTTGAAAAGCTCGACAAATTTTACCCAAGCCATTTCGACATCCCAACAATCATATACGTCGGTCCAATCAATTTCACAAAGTCGTTTATTTAAGTTGCTGATTCGATTTGATGAGAACAAGAATTTTGTTGAAGGAACTACGATGAGTTTTTCTTTTTTTACTTGTTTGCTGAAAGAAATTTGTGTGAGGACCGGCAAATGATCAGACAAATCACAAGCCAACACTCCTTGCAAGCACACATTCAACGAGTCATCTACAAATATGTTGTCAATAACTGATTGTTTGTTTGCTGTTATTCTGGTGGGGAGATTTATTAATTTACAAAGACCGTGCAGATCCATGATTTGTTGCAGTTGGTTATTATTGCTGTTTATATCGTCAGTTAAGTTTATGTTGAAGTCTCCTGTGACCACGATGTGTTTATTTTTTTCATTTAAACGTGTCAGGACATCATCGATTGATTCGCAAAAAGTTCCAACAGAACACGAAGGTGGTCGGTAAGCAACAACAACAACAATGTTTTTAAACTGCGCTTTATTGGCAATCTCTATGGCAAATATCTCAAGTGTTGTTGTCAAGGAGTCATTTAAATCGTGCTGTGCTTTAACGTTGTGTGTGTTTCTAACAAAGACTCCTACACCACCACCGTTTTTATTCATACGATTTTTACCGAGGTAGCAGTAACCATTCATTAAAACCATGTCCATATCACGATCTGATAGCCAGCTTTCACTGATTGCTATTACGTCAAATTTCAATTTAAACTTGTCAAGAAATTCGTTCAATTCATCAATTTTATTTTTTAAACTTCTAATATTAAAATGGATCAAACTGAAGAGAACGTCATTTTATGAAATGTGTTTAGTGTTGAAATTATTTATTTCCTTTACATCTTCAAACATTTGACAATTACTTGTGAGAGTTTTGTTCCTTGTAACGTTATCTTCGTCATCCATGATTGGGATCGATGTTGAGGTTAAAATTGTCGTCGGTGTTTTTGTTCATTGTCGCACCATCTGGTTGTTTGTTGCTTGATTGGTTGTTTATATTGTTAATAGTTTTGTCGTTTTTATTGAAAATCCATTCACGGATTAGTACGGAGCTGGGCCAGTTTGAAGGCGACATCACCTTGTTGAATTCCGCCGCTGGTACGCACAGTCTGAATGATGTAAAGCTTGGAGGATCGTCTGTGTCATTTT